AGTAAAATTGTACACGAGCCTCAACTAAGCGAGCTGCGTATTTTGTAGTCTATAAGAAAAGCTAAACAAAAACTAAAAGAAAAGCGAACAAACAAAAAACTGTTTTTAGCACTCAACAAAGTATGTGCATTAAAATTTTTTATTTAAAATTTTTGGATTTTTCAAGTTTTTTCCAACTAAGACAAGAGCAGGAACAAGAGAGAAACATTTTCTTAGGCATCGTTTTTTCTAACCACATTGTTGTTGACGTACTTACACATATATTATTCTAAGTGTACCCCTATGGCCTACTTTAGTCGTTAAGGAGAAAAACAAAAACAAAATATACTAAAACAATTTGCTGCACCAACACACATTGAGCACCCATTTATCTATAGCAAATATATAAATATATATATGTATATGATTAGTCAGATATGATCAGTTTCTAGACTTTAAGACAAATGTAAAATGAACGAAGTCGATGAACATGAAAAACGCCCAAATCTTATGAGTATGTAATTTAAACACAAAACAGAAAATGCAAAACAAATGTAAACAAATATGTAAAAGTAAAGAAAGTAAAAAACGAGTTACGTGAAATGCTGAAATTGGCAATTAAGTAAAAGTAGAACTTAAATATAACTAAAACGAACATTTAACTATAATAATAATATAATAATAGCAGCTCAGCTGATAAACAATTTGAAGCTTCATTTTGTTTATTTAGTGTATAAATATTGTTAGAGAAATGTCAGAAAATCATTATGAATCGAGAATCGATGTAAGTTAATGCTAATCCGTAAACAGTTTAGAGTATTTGCTAAAGGAACGTGCGCACGTACCCCCCGCAACACCCACACAAAAAAGACCGAAAGAAGCATAGAACTATTTGTAGCAAATGTAAAGAAGGCAAATTTTATACATATACATATATGTGTATGTATGCATTGTGTGTAAGGCAATCCGGCAAAGATATCAGTGCAACTAACATATATATCAACTGGAGCAACAGAAAACATAAAACAAAAACGAAAAACGAAAACTAAGCAAATCCATTTAACAATTAAATTAAAAACATCTAGACAATTAGTAAATAAATTTAAATTCAAGCATATAAACCATATGGAATTCAAGCAACAAGAAAACGAAACGCAACTTAAATCATTTTTAGCACTACGTGTAATTGATATGTAAACATTATCCTCGCTATCCTTCGCCCAACTCCCCAAGCTAGCTCCTGTGGCTAGTCCAAACACAACAAGTTTCACATCCTTTTAATTTACCCGAATAAATGAAAACAAAAATAAAAACAATGATGTTAAAATTCGATGTAAAAATATGAAACGACTTTTACTTACTTTTAGCACACCATTTTGTTTCAGCAAAAATGCATTGCATACTTCCAGGCTGTAAATTAAATCGTCAAAGCGGCACGTATTTAAAAATCATTGCATACTCTTGGGCGACGCATTATAATCGGCATATTTATTTGCGTAGCATACTTTCGCGGGCTGTCGTGCAAAAACAACATTCTGTTGCATACCCGCGAGGGCACACTGTAAAATTTAAAAACGCGCTGTTACTTGCTAGTGATTTCTATGCGCCTGGTAGTTCAGACGAAATTACTCAGCATTTTCTGCTCAGCCCAGGAAAAAATATTTTATTAGCAGCTAGCGAAGCTCCATTTTAACCGCAAATTCAGCTAAAATACCAGGCGAACAGAAATGAGTAGCAAGTAGCAGCTCAATAAAATGTTCATCAAACAAATAAGTATTGCATACTTTTGGGCTGCGCGAAATAATCGATTTTTAATTCTTGTGGTATACTTTTTCCTGGTGCTGCACACAACAATTGTTTGAAAATTGTCGCTTGCTAGTGCTTGCTGTGTGCCTGGTATTTCCATCGACTTTACTCAAAATCTGCGACTCACCCACCCACACACAAATAAGAAGAGTTTGTTTGTTTGTTGTTGTTTTTTTTATATATTTGATTATTTTATTTAAAATATATATCACATTAAATGTTACATTAACCAAGATACAAAATATATGCGACTTGTCATTGTCATTATTATCATTTGTCATTTTTACAATCGTTTTCATTACATATTAATATATATTATTATAGCGAATGGGTATATAGGTGTAGGTATGTATGTATCTAGACATTTCGCTCGAATTGGTTTAACATTTTAGGACTTTCAGATCGACATGCTTTGCATATCGAGGCTTTACAATATTTGTCATGGGTTTTACATAGTTAATGGGTTTATTATATAGTATAAGCATTATTCTTTCACATTGCAGGCAATTGAATAGGTTGTTTAAATATAGTTAAGATTGTCGCCACGGCATGCTTGGCATATCGAAGGACATGGAGGGTTTCATGGGGGCAAATCGGCTTGACCAGTTATACGTACATAGCTAGTTAAACATTAAACATAGAGTTACGATTAGGGCCTAAAACTAATAACTTGTTTTTCTAAACTAATTGCATCAGAGTCAGTCAAAGAAGTTGGAACCTAAAACCTAAACTACTTTGCCAGATGCGCCCCATTGAAGGCGACCTTAATGTCAGGCTTAGAGCTAGTTTGTTGTTGATGTTGTTGTTGTTGCTGGCTCGTCTCCTGATTGTTGTGGCTGCTGTTGCTGCTGCTGTGATTGTTCTGCTGCTGCTGCTGCTGTAGTTAGTGCTGCTGCAGGTGCTCCTGTGGCTGTTGTTGCTGTTATTGCTGCTGTTGCAGCTGCTGCCGCTGCCGCTGCTGCTGCTGCTGCTGCTGCCGCTGTTGTGCTAGCGACCGCACCATCGAGCGCATTAAGCGTATTGCTGCTGGCGGCCTTCTGATTGGGAAAGAGCACGGAATATGCCGGTGGCGGATCCAGCTCCTCGTAGTTGGGCGGCGATGTGGCGCTGCTTGGATCCATGCCAGCGCCATTGGCTGCGGCCAGCGCTGCCTCGCGCTCATTGTTGACAGCGTGCTGCGATGCGGAAGCTGTAAGTGTACGTATGGATTGAATGTGAGAGCTCAAGCGACAACAGGAAACTGTTGCGAGATGACGGCCACAGAGGAGGCAGTTAATGGCGAGTTGTGAAAGTTAGACATAGACATGGATACAAAGAGATACATTGAGATACATAGATACATAAACACAGAGATACGGATAAAAGTTGTATGGCATGCGCAATGTACGACGAAAAATACGAAAACAAAACACGAACAAGAAAACTCACATAAATATTGATGTCTATGTCTTACTTGAACTACAAAAGTGTGCAATTGAACGTACCCCAGAGGCCGCAGATGAGCAGCGCGCCGCCGCAGAGCAGCATGCCGAGCATTAGATAGCCCCACGGCCCGTACTTGGACAGGTCCGAGTGGAGTCCGCTGCGGGTGGAGTTGCGCCGGGTGAAGCCGCTGCCAGCACCGCTGCCATTCACAATGCCGTTCTCCATGGTGTCATTATCCTGCGCCTTGCCATCCAGCTCGGTGGCGAACTGAGTGCCGATGGCATTGGGCGAGCCTGGGTCCGGCTTCTTCATGTCTTTGGTGTGCACTTTACGCAACTGCGTTGTCGAATTGCTATTGACGCCAGCTGCTGCTGTTGCTCCTCCCGCTGATGCTGCTGCTTCCGTTTCGCCGGCGCTGCCATTGCGCGGCGGCATATCCTCCGGCGATGTGGGCGCATCGTAGGCAAACAGATTGCGAAACACCTCCAAGGCGAACTGCTCAAACAGATCGGACTCCAGCGCAGAGGGCAGCGTGCCGGCGCCAGGACGACGCTGCTTATAGCACAGCTCGTAGTCCTCGTCGCTGTCGTACTCATTGCTGTACGGACAATGGCGTATGCCATCGCACGCCAGCTCCTTGGAGATGCACAAAATGGGCTCGTCACTGCGAACAGAGGGATTTCCATTAGTTATTACATTCCACATAGTATTAGAAGTACCACTTACCCAATCTTCAGGCACTGATGCTTGCTCGCATCCTTGCACTGCTCGCCCTTGCCCAGCACCGTGACCATCAGCTTGGACTTGAGTGAATGCATTCCGTGCTCCCACACGATTCTCACACGGCCGTGGAACAAACGTACCGGATCCTCCATTTCGGAGGCGGTATCTTCCAGCTGACAGGGATCCACGCGCCATTGCGCCGTATGCGGATCCAGCGAGCTGAACTGCAAAGACAAAGCGAGAAAATCAATTAAATCTAAAGAACTGCTCCAATATTTGCTCGCGCATGCGCAAACAATTTACGCGGCTCACATACCAAATGCAAATCGAGATGGTAGAAACATACAAAATAGGGTCTAAAAACTACGAACAATAAAAAGCACTCAAAAATCTTTTCGCGCCCACACAAAGGCACACGAAATCCGACGTGATATAAATTATTTAGTTAAACAAAGATGTAAACGTGCACACAATAAACAGTCAACTGCGAATACATTTGGAATATTTGGCATGGGAAACGGCAATAATAATGGCAAATTAAATATTTACATTGTGAAACATTTATACATTTATTTTATACATTTTTATTTATATTTATATACGTCGCCGCGCAAAAAGCAATTTCAGTTAACATATGCGAAACTCTAAACTCATATATTATATATGCATTTACACGAATACACATACACACACACACACACACACACCCACACACATGCATGCTGAAAAGTCGTAGAATGCATACAATTTATGATTATATTATCGCCTGCTGCCTGATGCCAGTTAAGCATCTCAAATATTTATTCAAATTTGCGAGCTGCTGTTCCTAAACTAAATACAGTTGCGGCTAAATAAATATTAATTCAATTAAGTAAGCCAGAGCGACGTTATCAGATGATAATATCTTTAAGAAATGTTAAAAACAAACAAATACAATGTTTTAACAATTTTTTCCAGTTGTTTGCTAAAAAACTACAAACTGTGATCAAAATTCTTTGAGAATGGAATCCGAATATATGTCCATATTTTTGTTTTGCAAATTTCAGCAAACTTATTCTATACCATTTAAAAAAATAACATTTTTTAAAAATATTTTTATAGCTTTTAAAAAATTTCAATCAGTCCATCTCTATATTTATTTATTTATGCCTCAAATTCCATAAACTGGATTAAAAAATCAACTTATTTCACCGCTTGACTCCAACTCGCATATTTTCGACTGGTTTGAAACAATTTTATCTTTATTAAATTCTAAAGTATTTTTATGTTTGTGTTTAACATTTTGTTTTTAGCTCTCAACTCTCATTTTGAGCTGTTTTCTATAGGATTGTATTTGTTGCTTTTTATGCACTGGCCCCATTGAAAATGGGAAATCAAAGTCCAATGTTTTTTAAAGAATTTTTAAAGATATTTAATCTCTTCAGTAAAAATATGAAACTGATATAAAGACTCTCAAAAAAAATAAATA